TTCACCTCCGCTACCTTGCGAGTAGCGTCAAGAAAATCCTGTGGATGAGCACACGCTAATCAACGTACTCATCTATGGCCTTGTAGATGTCCCGGTGAAGACCTACATGTCCCGAGAAGACTTCCATACGCTGGAAAAGGCGACAGCGTATGCGGAACAAGAAGACTTCAGCCTGAGACAGTCTCAGGATAACTCGTCAAACTATCGTCCGACGAGACGAAAGGAAACAGGAGGTCCCGAACCAATGGACCTCTGTTATATCGAGAGCGAGAGCTCTCGCTTTCTGAGTCACAAGCGAACAGCAAAATGCCATCGCAGTCAAAAATCTGGACACTACGCTCATGAGTGTAGTGTCCCAAGCACCGCAACACATCCAAAGACAGGACGTGATGACCACCGTTGGCCAAGTAAAGGTCCAAGGCGTGGGTCCGACCATGTCGCCAATTCGCGACATCAAGTCGGGCCGCCAAAAATAGACAGGGTCAGTAGGGGCGGAGCACCCTACTGATCAAGCTACGTCAAGAGAATTTGCAGGACTCTTGAAAAAGATTGATCCCAACACACAGTCGCTGTGTGTTACTGCCCCTAGTGATGAAGAGTCCCTCATCATTTTGAAGATCGAAATGACAAATGGAATGTCACTTCGCGCCCTAGTTGACTGTGGGGCGTCGAACAAGTTTATTCGACGCCAGTAGCTAGAGGATAGTAGGCTCAATTATGTTGAGCTAGAGTTCCCTCCAACGAGGATAACGGTGTGCCTTGCTACATGCACATCCGTAACAGTGAGCAAATCTGTAGTGGGAATCCACTACACGCTAGAAGATAAGCAGTACGATGATAAATTGATCGCACTGGATATGGATGACAAATTTGATGACATCCTCGGTCTGCCATGGCTTAAAAAATACCAGCCATGGATCAGCTGGCAGCATCGATCCGTGAAGTCGCCTGCCGTTTTTTATGAAATGGCCATCTGATGAACGTCTTGGAGCGTATACAAGTGCGCGGATGTACTACGAGTGAGTGCGATGGCCTCACTTGTGGTACGGTCGTTAGTATGAATGCACAAGATCACAGTGTAGAAGGTCACTACAATGCGGAAACAGCTTCCGGCACCTGTGTAATGACACAGGCTGCGCCGAGGTTCACCACTCGAAGAGTTCGAGTGAACTGGAACACGGATGCACACCAAGAAGGGTGCGTCCGAAAATAGAGATTATGTTCAGGATGAACAGCACGTTGAAGCGAGATCGACTATTAAAGAGTCGTTCGTAAAGCTAGCCCGATCGACTGAAAGAGAGTCGATCGAAGAGAACGTGACTGTGGTAGATTACCCATAGTCAGTACACGTATTGGAAGAAAGTTCTAGCGTTCCTAAGAGTGATAACTCCTGATAGAGTTATGTTGAGGGTGTGTATTCCCAACCACCTGTAAATGTGTTTTCCCAGGAAATCACCGAGACAGTGAATGTCTTAATGAATGACGGATCAAGTGTAGGCGCTTATACACTTAACCCGGTTACACCTCTGAATTCAGCTTCGTAGGTAGTCACGTTGCCAGCGCTATAATCTAAAAGATTCTTGCGAGATCTGCGTAGTGACAAGATCAAGCAGATCTGCGAACTCGTCACAGAAGACTATTATGTCGCCGATGTTTGGTCGGCACAAGTGTTTGCTGAGAACGAACGAGTAATCGGTAGCTCATCGATGGACGAGAGTTTCGCTGATAAAAATTTACTCGGGTTTACGGTACACGTCTCAATCTTGGGGGTTTTGGAGACAACCCTTTGTAAAGGGATTCGGTTGAATTCAGGAATGTTTCTCTAAATCCGTGCCATGCGAGCTGCTTAAGGATGAATGCACTCGGCATGAGTTCGAACTAATCTCGGTTCTAAGCACTGTGTCATGAAGCAGTAGCCACTGCCTCGTAAACAAGTACTTGCGATCGATAAGTTCTTTGCCGATCGCTTAACTGCGGGCCCTGTAAAGGAATCAACATCCTCACATAGCTCTCCGAATTTCAGTGTGCGAAAGGCCACAGGAGGGTGGCGGACAGTGCACGCGTTCAACAAATTGAATGCTGCAAAGGTACCGGCTTAAACGCCGATACTGAGGAAGGACGTCATCATTGATGGAATGTCAAAAAGTACCATCTTTTCGTCCATGGATCTGATGGATGGATCTATCAGATCCTCATGTGTGAACGGGACATCCCGTACACAGCAGTGAGCACCCCGAGTGGTATACTCTGGGAGTGTCTAGCGATGCCACAGGGACAAGTGATGCCCCTGCACCGATCAACAGATGTTTTACGAATCTGTTGCGATCGGTGCGCGATTTTGCACCGTTTTACTTTGTCGATGTCTTCGCCTATAGCCGGGCTATGAATGGAAAGACGGACGTGGAGGTTCATAGAATCCACGTCTGGAAGGTTTTTACATTTACGCGAGAGCAAAAGTTATTCACGCTTCTAAAGAAGTGTTTCTTTGCAGCGAGCAAGATAACACTTCTTGGCTGCATCGTGGGTAAGAACGGTGTACGCCCTGATCCCGAAAAGATCAAGGCGATCACCGACTGGCCTGTGCCAGTCGACGTCAAGGGTCTTCGAAAATTCCTTGGCTTGGCGGCGTATTTGCACAAGTACTCGCGCAATTATGCCAAGATGACTGTACATCTATCTCGTCTGCTAAAGAAAAACGAGAGGTGGTCATGGAGTGCTGAGTGTCAGCACTCCTTCGAATATATCAAGAGAAGCTTGATACGAACGCTTGTGTTGGCGATTGCAGATCAGGATAGGCCATTTCATGTGGCCTGTGACGCCAGATATTTTGTAATCGGCTGCACGTTAATGCAGTACGACTCAGACGGCGCTGAGCGCGTCGTCTGTTATCAATCGCGTCAGCTGCAAGCATTTGAGCAAAATTACCCGGTGCATGACAAGGAACTCCTTGCAATGAAATATGCACTGGCTAAATTTCGGGTGTATCTCTTAGCAGATAGGCCCTTCATCGTTATGCCGACCATGCGTCGTTACGCACATTCGTAAACAGTCCACACTTCTCGCAATAGATGGCGAGGTGGCTGTCTTTCTTCTCGGAGTAGAACTTCTCCGTCGAGTAGAAACCAGGACGACTTAATGTCATCGCTGATACTCTTTCACGTCAGCCCGATTTCGAGCCGACTGCTCGACACAACAGTAGGGGTGATCCCACTGTAGCGACACTGACAGTGAGTGTGCCGTCGTCGAATCAGCTCGACGACGTGCGAAAGGCATACGCGGAAGATAAGTCTCCTCTGTGATTGATGTATTACGCGTCTAATCCATGCAGTCAAGCTTTGAAAAGCTTGGCGTCTCAACACCGCCCTTCAACCGAACGGTATTCGGTTCGTGATGGACTGCTGTACTATACAGCAGTCAACGGCGATACACCTTGTTTCGTCGTTCCCGCTCATCATGATTTGCGATTGCGCATCATATATAAGTGTCATGATGCCTCGACAAGTGGGCCATGCGGTAAGGACCTCATGGTGAGTCGTGACTTCTACTGGTCCCACCAGTATAAGTTTTTGCGCAAATACATTCGCGCATGCGAAATCTGTCAACGAGAAAAGTCAAGTCCTTCACTGCGTGCACCTTTACAGCCTCTACCAGTTCCGGCAAAGTGTTGGCAGTCCGTTTCGATGGACTTCCCATTTGGGTTTCTTTAAGACGTTTACAAGAATACCAATATTCTTGTATTTGTTGACAGATTCAGCAAAATGGTACACCTTGTGGCTGTACCGGAGTCAATCATGACCCAGGCCTGTGCTCGTGTCTTTATCAATACTATCTTCCGACTTCACGGGTACCCCGTAAACTCGTGCCTGGTACGGACCCCAGCTTCACAGCGGGATTCTGGTAATCCGTGTTCCGATCACTTGAAATACGTTTAAAGTATCAACTTCTTATCATCCGGAACCATATGGTTATACGGAACGCATCAACCGCGTCCTCGAAGAGATACTTCGAGGGTATGTTCACTCGTTTACGAGTTGGAGTGAGTTCTTGCCGATGGCGGAATTCGCCATCAACAACTCGGAACATGCGTCGACAACGCATGCAACGTTATTTGTGGAAGGCCTACGCCATCCACGTTACCTGCCTTCTTAGAGTGTGACTATAGTTCAAGGGGTGCGTGTGGACTCACTCGAACAAATAACGATCTGGTTCTTGCTCATCACCCGTGGACAATGGTGTCGACGTGATGATAGCCGATGTCGATGCAATCGACACCGATGATGATGATGAAGACGATGCTGGTATATTCAGCATCGCCAATGACTGCCACAGTGAGGACGACGAATCCCCCACTGATGGAGACAACGTTCTTTCCGCAGTGCACACCAAGCGCAGTGCTGTTAACAAGGATGAATCAGCAGAGAAATTTCTGCTGACTCGTGAAGCGGTTGTTCACTTCGTTCAAGATTCAATTGCAGATACAATAGACAAGCTGAAAAGGAACGCAGACAAACATGGAAGAGCAAATGTTCTTTCATTCGATGAAAGAGACATAGTTTTACTGTCTATAGTAAATCTACCACAACACGCAGTGACGAACGCGGGCAGCAGTAAATAACTGCTCAAGTACATCGGTCCATTTCGTGTGTTGCGTTGGATGGGCAACGCATACACGATTAAGCTGTCTGTAAGATGCGTACGCATCCTACGTTTTACGTCGGTCGCCTCCGCCCTTACTACCAGCACGAGCCCGTTTCGAGATGCGAAGAACACCTCCGCGGTCGAGATCCAAGAACACTTTCGAGTATTCCCTTTTCAACGCGCCAGTATGGTCGACAAGCGAAGCGACCTGCTACGCAGTTGAGCGATGTCTCGACGAGCTGCAGCCAGCTCGTCACAAAGAGAACGAGTCGAACGTTCGTTCTCAGGTTGTGCGAACGCAAACGCGGCAGATCGTCCGAACGATCTTGCGCTAGGATATTGTAATTATTTCTTACAAGATCATGGAGCTCATAACGCCGAGTCCGTTCATGATCCAGGTCATCTTGCAACTTTTCCATTTAAGGGGTACAGCTCCTGAAAATCAAGCTGATCCGACCCTCAAGCCGGATCAGGTGTTCCCGCCGCCACCACATCCTTTGGCGGACCCAGGAGGGGTTCAACGCTTTCTAGTGGAGCGTATTTTGATCCACCGCGATGTAAATGGCGTCCGGACGAGTTACCTCGTCCGCTGGCGTGGTTATACACCGGCGTGAAACAGCTGAAAGCCTTGTGCCCATCTGATAGTTGATGTCCTTGGTCTCGTCGAACAGCCCGACGAGACCCATCCGCTGCATTTGAAGAAGGGCCGTCGGAAAACGACCTTTGAGAACGCGAGTACAGGGATTGCAAAGTGTCGATCCCTTCGGCCATCTCAGAAGAGATGCACGCCCTCCAGTAGGGATCATTAGGGAGGTAGGCCTCACTAGGGGTACAGTTCGAGTTGTCCAGGCAACCTGGACACGAATCACGCCACGAGAGACAGGGTTATCATGCCTCTCTTGACAGCCAATGCAACTTGTATCGTACCCCGAATGGGTTGCGCTTCTTAAACCTGATGAGAGCTGCATCAACTCTTCCGAGCCAGGCCTCACGACTAACGCACTCGATGTTGTGGATGAGGGCATTCCATAGCTGCACTAAGGCTTTGCCGTCATGACCACGGCTGCCATTGTACCACCAATGCTTAAAAGACACATCGGTGAAGAATTCTTCCTTCGCACGGATAGTTTCCGTGCTGGAATCAGGTGGGCAAATATTCCTGCAATCGAACAACGAGATTCGATCCCGTTCGGTTATCATGCCGGCCAACCGGTACAACTTCTTGGATATATGGCATACAAGGAGACTCTTCTTGAGGAGCGTGGCGCAAAACATTTTAGTTCCTGGCCACTTAATTGGTCTCAACATGAGTATTGACACCAGTGACACCTCGACCCCTCGAGTTACTTTGCAATGGGGCACCCTAAAGCTTGTACTGGTGACAGTACAAGCTACTTATTCTGATGACAGAATAAGGCGGTGCCTCGTAACTTCACGTACACTGGTACGTGCAGAGGAAGACGGTAAGAAGAAGCGAGTTCTTGGTTAGAGTAAAAAGTAGAACTGTATTTATAATAGTTAATGTCTGCAATAAATCACTATTTATCTTCACCTTACTATGTCTAAATACAAATGTGTATATCAACTATCTACTCACCACTCATTGCGTGCGTCTGTTGTGGCGCGTCTTCGTTGGTTGATATAATGGCCTACATCAACCAATTAGGAACTACTCGTAAGTGCTACAGAATATTTGTCTTTATGACAATATTTTGAGAACTTAACTCCTATAGTTATATTCTAATAACAATTTCTTATAAATTGTTATGGTAACGGTTCACCCCGTTGCATGACCTCTGTAATGGGCCACCCCGTTACATAAGTAGGTTCGATTAAGTTTACATGTTACTTAAGTAGGGGTGTTACTTTCGGAGTAGCGAAAGTAGCACGTCGTATATTTTTGCTGGTAATGGGCTCAGTACCATTATTAGCCAGTAAGATATAGGCATGTAGATTGAGTGGTTCCCATGAGTCCAAGGGAACCATTCGTACTTAGGATGATTTAAAAGACAAAATATAAACAGAGTTAAAAATACTTAATACCTAAGACTTGGGCTTTAAGCTTCCTCAAAGCGTTAGAAATAGTGTACGCTAAGTACGGGTCATTCTAGCCACGTTACACCTGGTAGCACTTAGTAGTCCTTCCCATGCCCGAGTTTAAGATGAGCGATTCGTCGTACTTTGACGCTCCAGACGTGAGTCTGGAGCACGCGACTTTTCCCCATCTCACTGGTGTTGAGTGGGATGCCCAAATCGCCTCGCGGCAATATCTGGAGAGGCATTCGTTGTGTCGCTGATGAGATCAGCGACTCTTGATGGACAGCGTCTCGCCATACACGACTACATGGCTCGCGAGCTCGCCGAATCCCATCGGCGAGGTTTAACTCCCTCGCGGACTTCACGGAACGATGCCGTGAAGATGGAGACCTCCGCCTATTCTGGCGAAGGAAAAGAAGCTTGTCGTTGTCTCGTTGGTTTTGAGAGGTCGACATCGCTATCGCCTCGAGACTTCTCGAGGCTCCTCAAGCGAAGGTCAATTTCCTTCTTTCCCGTCTCACTGGGAAAGCCAAGGAGTGGGCCTTGGAAAAACTCGTTGTTGACAAGTTTGCGTTCCCCACTCTGGAAGCCATCCAGAGTGACCTTCGACTCGCCTTCGAGCCGCCCCAGGAAGATAAGTTGGTGCGTTCAAGGTTCCTGTCCCTGCGACAGGGTAAGATGTCCATGCACGACTACGTGCAGATGGCTCGACATCTGGCGTCTTGCATTATCACGCATCCCATGGACATGTATACACAAGTAAACGTGTTTGTCGATGGCATGCGTGAAGGGCAGACTAGCCTCTCGCTGGAACGAGCAGAGCCTGCCACGCTGGAGGAGGCTTTCGCTATCGCTCTCCGTGAGGACTTCAGAGTCACCAAGGCCTATACCAAGCCTTCAGTTGTTACCGCTGTCAGATCAGCGGGCCCGGAACCTATGGAGATCGATGCAATTGAGTCGTCGGGTGACCGACAACGCGCTACAGCCTACAAGGGCGACGTCCGAGGCGGACGTCAGATGATCTGCTTTCGATGCCGAAAGCCGGGACATCGCGCGGCTGAATGCCGCGCGCCAGCACCGATGTCGGTGCATGCGACGGACACCCATCATGAGGGAGGTGCTCCGATCAGTCGTCCAAAAAATGGACGAGACCAGTAGGTGCAGGGCGCCCTACTGGTTTGAAGGGAGGTCCGGGTCCACCGGTGGCAGCCTGACCTCCCAGCCCATCTGTGCTGCGTGCACGGTCAAGTGCCACCACTACGAGTTGTGATTTACGCCTGATTATTGTTAATCTACATGTCGCCGGTATCCGGCGACCTCTACGAGCGCTCCTGGATTCAGGAGCGACAAACAATTTCTTCTGTGAATCTTGCGTGTCAATGCTGCCACCCAGCATTCAGATCCACGAGGGACCTGGCCAAGTTGTTGTCAAGCTCGCTGACGGGAAACCACGCCGCGTATCGCGGCGCGAAGTGTCGTTGCCGTACACGTTTGACGGCTTTCGCAGTAACGACAATTTCTTGGTGATTGAAATGAATTATTCATTCGATTGCATCCTGGGCATGCCATGGTTGGCACGCTATAAGCCCCAGATCGACTAATTAGCCAGATCAGTGAGACGTCGAAGCAAGTTCGACGTCAGCGAAGTGTTCACCCATCTCTTGGTGTCTCCAAGTGATTGGCCGAACGTTACAGTCGTGGATCGTACATCCACGACACCGGCGGTACACAGAGTGAGCGATGGCCCTCTCTGTACCGCTTGTTCCGTGCCCCTACGCACGAGTGATGATGCCTCCTCGCTTTGCAGCGAGGAGTCCGACGTGGACGAGCAGTGGCTCCCGCGTGATGACGACGCGGACGAGCAGTGGCTCCCGCGCGACGACGACGCGGTCGAACAGCGGTTCCCGCACGAGAGAGCAGTGGTCGAACACGAACAAGTGTTCCCACCTGCACCCATTGTGGTCGAGCAGAGGCTCCCACAAAGGCAAGATGTGGCCGAGCAGGGGCTCGCCACCGAGTGTGACGTGGATGGACAAGAGTCCCACGGTGCGAACATGATGGTCGAACAGGGGTTCCCATCGTCGCCTACTGTGGTCGAACAGAGTTTCCCACATGAGCAAGACGTGGTCGAGCAGGGGCTCCCACACGAGTTTGTGGCGGTAGAGCAGGGGCTCCCGCATCATGCATCGACGGACGAGTATGGACTACTCCCGTCACGCGATTTCGACGTCCTGGATGAGGACATCCAGCGTCTAGAGGGGGGTGCAGATTTAACACCTGACTGCGGTTCGCCAGCTTCGAGCATGGACTCGAAGCACGATGGGGACGCAAGCTACGAGAACTCAGCGTTGGAATACGTCCACGCTATTGTGTACGTGGAGGGGAGTCCACAAAGGAGCCAATACATTGAGGTCGCGAGTCCACCTCGCGACGCGTCGTCGATTACGAGCCTTACAGGACTCTCCTGGAAGCATTTTCTACGGACCTCCAGAGAGGCACGGTGGAACAAGTATGTCTGGTCACCAACGAGGTGACCTATGAGCCGAATGAGGAGCGAATGACGCGCCCTCGAAGCGCTGAGCAAAAGTCAGCGCGCGAAGAAAGATTTGCGTCGCAATCTTGGAAGGCTCTGCGCGAGTCTGGTAACCCTGTTTATGACATTGCACGAGAGTACGCCGACGTGTTCCCGGACAAGATTCCGGCCGAACTCCCTGCCGATCGTGGCGTGCGGCACGAGATTGATCTCGTGCCAGGATCGAAATATTGTGTGACACGCCAGTGGCCGTTGCCTCGAGACCAAGTCGAGGCTATTGATGCATTCTTCGAAGGTCGTCTCAAGGCCGGTCATGTGCGTGAGAGTGTCTCACCCCATTCGAGCCCAACCTTCTGCGTAAAGAAGGCTACGGGAGGCTGGCGTATAGTGCATGCGTTTAACAAGCTCAACGATGCCACTATTCCTGCCCAAACGCCTATCCCCAGGAAAGACATGATTCTAAACTCCATGTCAGGTAGCGTCATCTTCAGCGCCATCGATCTGACCGATGGCTTCTACCAGATCTTGATGCGACAGAGTGACATACCACTCACTGCGGTGTCTACCCCGAGTGGTATGCTATGGGAGTGGCTGGTGATGCCACAAGGATTGAAGAACGCACCAGCCACTTTCAATCGCATGGTATCTCAAGTGTTGAGACCGCTTCGAGACTTTGCTCCTAGCTACTTCGATGACATTTTTGTCCACAGTCGCGCTGAGGGCAACCTCAGTGCTGTCCAAGTTCACCTTCAACACCTGAAGCAGGTGTTTCAAGTCATGCGAGATAACAAGTTATATGCAAACTTGAAGAAGTGTGTATTCTGTGCACCGGAGATTCCGGTGCTGGGCTGCTACGTGAGTAAATCGGGTGTTCGAGCCGATCCAGAGAAGGTGTCGTCATTCCGTTTTTGGCCCACACCCAAGAACCCTACGGAGTTACGTCAATGGCTCGGTCTAGCTAATTACTTGCATAAGTACACAAAGGATTACGCCGGTTCTATACAGCCCCTGTCGTCACTTCTGAAGAAAGACGCCACGTGGTCGTGGCGTCCCGAACATCAAGCAGCCTTTGACGCAGTGAAGAAGAGCCTGGCGTCGGCGCCAGTGTTGATACTCCCTGACGACACCAAGCCGTTTCACGTTGTGTGTGATGCAAGTGACTTTGCAATTGGTTGCGCCCTCATGCAGTTCGATCATGAGGGCCGTGAACGAGTCGTGAGCTACCAGTCACGACAGATGAAGCCGGCAGAGAAGAACTATCCGGTTCAAGATAGGGAACTGCTAGCGATGCGCTATGCACTCATCAAGTTTCGTGTCCACCTACTGGGCGAACGCACGTTCGCCCTGTATACTGATCATGCATCGCTGCGAACAGCAATAAGGAGCCCACACCTGTCACAGCGGATGGCACGGTGGCTCTCTTTCTTCTCCGAGTACAACTTCGTCGTGCACTACAAGCCAGGCAAGACCAACATTCTTGCTGACGCACTGTCACGACGCCCAGATTACGATCCTCGTATGGCACTGAGTCGTCAGGCAACTGACGACGTAGATGAAGACAATCGATGTGCGACGTGTGTGTCGTTGAATCTAAGTCGGGTCACACCCGAGTTATGCCTTTTCGATGAAATTGTCGCGGCTTACGCGAACGACCCGGATTACGCGGACATTATCGCCTATCTGCGCGCTCCCAGTGAGGCTGCACTGGGAGCTCTTTCGCGAACGAAGCGTGATTACATTCAACGATACAGTATGGACGGTGGTTTGCTGTTATATAGCATCGACAAATTCGATGCACCTCGAACGGTGATTGCGAATGACTTGGATTTGCGTGCTCGTATCATCCACGAGTACCATGATGCCCAATTGGCGGTCATCTGGGCCGCGAAAAGACATTCGCGGCTGTCTCGCGTGACTTCTTCTGGCCCCACATGTACAAATGAGTTCGCAACTGGGTTCGCACCTGCGAATATGTCAGCGCGTGAAGCCATCTCCATCGTCGCAGGCTCCCCTGCGACCCCTGCCAATTGCAGCTGAGGCTTGGAGCTCAGTCTCAATGGATTTTATCTTCGGGCTTGCACCAGATGGCCAAGACCGAACGGGTATTCTGGTCTTTGTCGACAGATTCAGCAAGATGACACATCTGGTGCCTGTTCATGCAACTATCACCGCGGCTGAGACCGCGGTGCACTTCATTGACACTGTGTTTCGCGATCACGGTCTACCAGACAACATTGTCTCGGACCGTGATCCTCGCTTTACATCTGCTTTTTAGACGTCATTGTTCGAGTTGCTTGGCACAAAGCTGCAAATGTCGACAGCAGCCCATCCGGAAACGGATGGGCAAACAGAGCGAGTTAATCGGGTCCTCGAAGATGTTCTTCGAAGTTACGCAACGTCCTTTACAAGTTGGAGTGCGTTTTTGCCACTCGCGGAGTTTGCACTAAACAACGCGGTTCAGGCGTCAACGGGGTTGACGCCATTTTTTGCAAATTCGGCCCGTCATCCTCGTGTACCTACTCTTCTTGCCGTGGGTTAGCCCACGGCTCTTCGTGGACCCACTCCGGCGGGGGGTGATAACGATAAACAACGATCGAGTGAAGCTCACGGTATTCTATGCGCGAATGTTGTCAATCATTCCAAGGCGAAGTCTTCTGTTTCGACGCCACGTGACGTGGCGTCCCCGCTTGCTCAATGGACTGCACAGACGCTGCTCGATCCTTCTTCGAGTATGCGAAACCCTAAAGCTAACTACGCGCCGATTGAATCGGCGCGACCAATTGATGACATGGCTGTGTCAGAGTTTATACATAACGTCAAGCCATCACGAGGTTTGTGCGCGATACTCTTCGATCTGCAGTGGATAAACAGAAAGCGAATGCAGACAAACGTGGAAGAAAGAACACGAGTACATTCAAGAAGGGTGATCGTGTATTGTTAACTACCGAAGGCATACGAGATTCAGCAGTAACCAATCTAGGCGCGAGCAAACTCGCGCCACGTTTCATCGGACCATTCACGGTACTCAAGGCGATCGACGACGCATACACGCTGGCCATCCCTTCGTCACTGCGACTTCACCCGACGTTTTACGTCGGGCGGCTCAAGGAGTACCGTCCAGCTACGCTTCACGGGTTGGCTCCGTCCTCGGAGTCAAAGGCTTATAGGTCGACCTTCTTTCTCGCCTTGCTCGACGTACCAGCGACATAGGACGCGGCTGCGTCCCAGTCTGCGCGTGCCCAAGAACCTGGCGTTCCAGGTTCCGCTTCCGTTCAAGCAGCTCGCGGTTCGACTGTCGAATTTCGTTCGCTGTTCTCTCAGCCCGCGCAGCTCGGTCAAGGGCAGCTTCATCCTCCAGCTGGGCATCAACAGCCTTGATCACAGCCGCATCTACATCGTTCTGGGCAACCAGGACGCCAGCAGTACCATCGTGAGGGTCCACCACCGCTTGTGGACGCGGAAGGCCAGAAGCGCTGGATTGTGGAGCGTTTACTGGGTCACGAGGACCCTCGTCGCGAAATGACATCGTCGCGACACCATGAGCGCGCGGTTCCAACCGCGCGCAAGTATCGTGTACGTTGGCTCGGGTTTCCACCCGAGCAGGATACGTGGGAACCGCGCTCTTCGCTTCTTCGAGACGTTCCGGACGTCGTTCGGGCTTACGAGTCCCTGCACACGCTTGGTGCAGACTTGGTCGGCGTCCTGTGTGTTCTCGGGGTGAGCGAGAACGAGATGCACGACTACGAGACCGAGAGCGATTGCGGGAACGTCGTGGTGACGTATTACCACGACGACGAGATGAAGAGCGACGACGAGAACGTCGCGACGAGCGTGTATCGCGACGATCACGCGAACGAGAACGTCGTGGCGAGTGCATGGCACCACGACCTCGAGAACGCGAGTGGTGTCGCCAGCGTGACGCGCCACGATTAACCGCCGTCTTGCGCTCCATCAAGCTGCGCTTGTATCGTCCGATCCAGAGCTGTTCATACTCGCTGAGTGGATACTCAGCGACGTGTCGTTGCCAAGCTTCGCGAGTTGGACGAGGCATCGAGTCACAGGAATGACAAGATTCGTGCACGTGAACGTAGCAGAGTCGATCTACGTTCCATGCGTTTTCACAGATCTTCTCGCGCAGTACACCGAGGTAATGATCGGCGTGGATATCTTCACGATTGGCCAGCCACTGCTGAAAGTTTCTTCCGTCTTCAAGCATCCGGTTTCACCGCCGGATGAACGCACACCATGAACGCTGGAGCGACTCGTACGAGATGCCATCAAGACTCTTTCCACGCAACCCACGGAAACGCCGGAAGTAGTCCTGCATCGTTTCGAGAGAGTCCGGAGCTCGAGCTCCGGACAAGTCATACAGCGCCCAAGGGATCAGGTGCCGATCCATCACGTGGTCGACTAAACTCCCGCTGATTGTGCGCGGGAGTGCTGTGGTGTTGACGTCTGCGTCTTCAGTCATCGTTTGGCTTGTGTGTCGTTGGGTCTTGTGGTTGAGCACTCACGGTTCGTGAGTGCTGTCTTTAGAAGGGGGTGATGTAATGGGCCACCCCGTTACATAAGTAGGTTCGATTAAGTTTACATGTTACTTAAGTAGGGGTGTTACTTTCGGAGTAGCGAAAGTAGCACGTCGTATATTTTTGCTGGTAATGGGCTCAGTACCATTATTAGCCAGTAAGATATAGGCATGTAGATTGAGTGGTTCCCATAAGTCCAAGGGAACCATTCGTACTTAGGATGATTTAAAAGACAAAATATAAACAGAGTTAAAAATACTTAATACCTAAGACTTGGGCTTTAAGCTTCCTCAAAGAGTTAGAAATAGTGTACGCTAAGTACGGGTCATTCTAGCCACGTTACAACCCCCCCTTAACCATCAGTCACTTTAGTGACTGATTGACTAAATGGATACTCGTCCCAAATCATTTGGGACGCGGTTTGCACTTGGTGGTCCGATTCCACTATCCAACAATTCATCGCGTGGTTTACAAGTCCTTGCGGTGCGCGAACAAGGCCGCTGAGAGCGCGTCTGCACGTCTCTGCGCAGACGCCGAAGCAGAAACCACAGCAACTGATGTGTCATTGGTTGTGAAAGCGTCTCAGCCTGCATCATCTGGTGACGCAGGCGCTTGTCATGAAGACACTCATGTCTTCACAGAGTATGAGCTCGGTGTCTCATACTCTCCTGATACGGAAGACGGATCCGTATCGAAGGCGGTTGAAACCAAGCCGCCTGCCAAGCGTGGCATGGATGATGCTATGCGTCGTAGCATCTTTGGTTCATCTATTGAATGAGATGAACCATCGCCAAAGCGTAGGCGCTCGAGATCGCAAGACTCGGGTGCTCACAGTGGTGTCGGTTCTCCTATTGACACCACTTCGCAATGAGGCCAGTACTTCTGTCGGCACGTCGCAAGAAGAGCGGGACCGCAACGTGTTGCGTCTTGCTCCCGAAAGGAAGGCATGGATGCATCCAAAGTCAGTCATGGATCGCTTGTCGGCGACGACAAGTGATCGCTATCGAACACGATTGTTCGATTCATCAAGGCTCCATCACCTTGACCCCAGTGCGAAAAACTTTCGCGCTGAGAATGATTTTTTTTCATCGATGCTTTCTTTAAACATCGATGGTACAGTGGGAATCACATACGTGATGGTCCCTCACTGCTTCAATCGTGGAACGCTTACATCTATAACCTAAGGATGTAGGTCGTGACGTTTGGAACGACAAACTTGTCAAAGCTCGTAATAAGTTTGAGAAAAGAACTTCGACAGGTGCATGCTATAAGCTCCATAGGAGGGTGTGTTACCCTTTCTTTCCTGGGGAGACCCGTGCCCTTGTTGTGTAAACAACTCTGCGCGCGCACCTAAGGAGGCTTACCTCCTTACTAGCCTGTGGTGGCGCGTACGTATCTCTACTGAGATGTACGAAGGGATTGACAACCTGAAATCCTTTTACGACCGTGCCAGGAAGACTTTCTTTGGCGGTCCTTCGGCGGAACAGGATGTGCCGCGTCGTACTGCTCAACCAGATCCAGTAATTCAACCATCAATTGGGAGCGGGGCTCCCAAGTATCGCAGGAGGGGGATAACCGCGCCACCGGACGAGGTAACTCGTCCGACATCCGTTCACATTGCGTTGGTTCAACAGCCGCTCAACCAGATAGCGCTGGCCACCGCGAGAGCCCCCCAATGGAGGTGAAGGAGGATGGAAAATGCTCTCCAAACTATCGTGGGGGAGCGTGCGTCCCCGAGAGCCTCTTTGATCGCGTAACTCTTGCGTTGCTCGGCGACCTCAAACATGAGCGGGACAGGCGTCTTTAACCGGCGGACACTGTCTTGAAGCATCGATCTGAGTATGCATTTGCTCAGCTTGAGAACGAGAGAGCTTTGAAATATCTGTGTAACGAACTAAGGGCAGCTCGTGTGGATATTGACCGGTCTCGGACTGAGATAACTGCTCTTCAGACCCTTGTCGATGGCCACCATCGGGAGCACAAGGCTCTCTGTGAGATGCTTAAGCGCAAGGGCGTTCTTCATCGAAAGAAGCAGCGTACTGATGGTACGGCTTAAGCCGACCAACGTAAAACGTGGGATGCGTTCGCATCTTGCATAACAATTCAATCGTGTATGCATTACCTAGGCGATGCAATACACGAAATGGGCTGATGTACTTGGGTAGTAGTTTACTGCAACCCAAGTTAGTCACTACATGTTTTGGTAGAATAACCGTAGACAGTAGGACTAAGTCACCTTTATTAAATAAAAGGGTGTTTGCCCTTCCATTCTTGTCAGCGTTTGCTTTTGCTTATCCACCTCTTCGGCGATGGAGTCTTGCACAAAACGGACTACCGTTTCACGTAGCCATTATGAACTCATCTGCTGACGACTCGTTATCTTCAGTGCGCTGTGAGTGCACTGCAGCAACATCAATCGTTTCTTCAGTGAGGGCTTCCGCACTCTCACTGGCATCATCTTTTTCGATATCGATGTTGTCGACATCGGCATCAAACGCAATGACCTCATCT